ATGTATTTACTTGAAAGGTAGAATTAGAAAGAGAGAGAAACTTCACCCAGGATTCCCACATGAGTGACAGAAGTCCAAGAAGAGCCACCTTCCTTTGCTTTCCCTGGTGCAATAGCAAGGGGCTAGATTGGAATTGGACCAGCTGGGACACAAACTGGTATCTCTATGGGATGCTGGTGTTGCAGGCCTCAATGTAACCTGCTACATCACAGTGCTTACCCCTTGAATAAACTTTTGAGAAGGGTCTGTCTTGTATATGTGATGGAGGGTTCTTTCCCGGCAAAGGGCACAAGTTATGCAAAGATATTAACATAGAAAGAGAATGACACATCTGGGAAACTGGAGTGGGAGATAAAGAGTAGTTTTGTGGGAAGAGGATGAACAAGACAATAATGGCCAGTTTGAGAAGAGCATTCTGTGTTCATGAATTATGGTAGATAATTTTGAAGCCAATTAAAAACTCTTCATAAGCATTGGCATAGAAAAAATTCCTCCAAGAAATTTCAATTGAGGCACTGTCATTAGAATCAATAAAAATGCCAAGGAAAGAAGCTATTAATATTGTCCTGATTGAGATGATAAAGCCTCTAGCTAAGGAAATAATATCATAATGGGAATATGAAGACAGATTACAGAACTAGGAGGGGTCTTCAGAAAGTCTATAGAAAAGGGGTATTAGGAAAAATCTATGTCTGGCTTTCAAAAAATACACCAAAGCAAATTTACCTTCTAATATAGTTTTCCACAGAAGTTCTTAAGTATTCTCCTGTCTACGCAACAAAGAACGTAACTTCTTGATCAGTTAATTGATGGGCATGTGGGTAGAGAAGACTCATGCTGGTTCTAAATTCCTGGCTGAGATGGCATGAGGTCTGGGAGTGTAAAATCCACAGTGTGTTCAGAAGTCTACTAATTAAGCAGTGCATTCATCTATGAACAAAATCTGAGTGGATTACATCAACAGAAGGGATAGTTTTCCCACACTAACGGCGTCCACAGAAAGGTAAACCCATGGCTAGCATGGTGAATCTCAGAATTCGACAGAACTCTAAGCTTCTCCTCTTTCCACTGGCCATTTTGGGTGACTGCTCCATCTGAAAGGTTATCCTGAAGTTCAGACCTTGCTCAGAAATTCAGATGTTCATGTCAGAGTTCCAGGCTAAAAGAGTAATGAGAAGCAATGAAAAACTGGGCATGCTCTGCCTTCCCTCTTTTTAAAGAACATTCCTGAAAATACTTCATCACTGCCCGGCTATGTATCTTATTCATCAGGCCCTACTTACAGGGCCTCAACAAGATAGAACTGCTTGCTCAGAAAGAACCCTTTATTTTGCTGATAATGTGCAATAGATATGATTTTGAGGCCTGTTCCTAAAGAAGAGACTACAGAGGTAACTATTCATCTCAATAAATCAGCGAATTTACATTTTGGAGAAAAATTATATCACCCAACTTTGTAAACATTGCAAACCCCACAAAAAGTCATATACAAAAAATGGCATTAGCTAATTTTTGAAAATTGGTTTTAGCCATTTTATATATATGGACTTCTCCTTTAACTAGCTTGAGTCTTCCTTGTTTCATAATAACTTTAATTTTAATTAAAGATTTGAAAGGCAGAGTGTTAGAGAGAAAGAATAGACTGAGGAAGAGATGATCTTTCTGCTGATTAACTCTATAAAGGTCCTCAAGGGCCACAACTGGGCCAGACTGAAGCCAAGAGTCTGTAACTCCATCTGGACTCCCATGTGTGTGGCAGGGCCCAAGTACTTCTGCTATCAATGCTGCCTTCCCAGACACATTAGCAGGAAGCTTGACTTGGAAGCAGAGCAGCCAGAGTTTGAACTGTCGCTCCAATTTAGGATGCATGTGTTGCAAAAGGCTGCTTAACGAGGTGTGCCACAACGGTGGCTCCTTTACAATAATTTTAGTAGAATCATAGTTTTACGTAGTTTGAGAAGACCAGAGAATACTACACTTGTTTCTTAACTGCTTTAGGAGTAGAAACTAATCTGAAATGTGTATGTTTGTGTGTGTGTTTGGAGGCAAATAGCTGGAATTATAAGGATGGGGATCAGGGAAAAATACTAAATTATATTGCTTGGTTACATTGATATATCTTTGCTGACCACTACCATACATACACAGCCAATTATAATATTTTTGTTATTGTATTGAGCTAAATCACAATTTTTTAAAAAATTGTAAATATTCTTTAATTTTTCTTGCTATCTTAATTTTTTGGTTTTGTTCTCTTCATTTTTTCCTTTTTTCTTGGGGATGAACTATTAAAATTTTTCATAAAATATTATTGTTGTATTTATGATGGAAACCTTGGTCTACATTCAAAGACATACACAAAGTTGTGTTTCAGAGTTGCCATGTCCTGAGTAGTGGTCACCCAAGGAGCCCAAGGGATGAAGCTGTCAGTGAGCCTTCTGCAGGACATGCCCCAAAGGTATACCAGGAATGAGAGGGGTAGGATGACATTCTCCAGGTGCCTTGGCACTGTTGTAAGTTTGCACAACATGTGCACAGAATTTAGCCCAGCAATCAACAGAACATGAGGAGCTTGTGGTAGCCCTGGGGACATTCTCTGAATCTTGTTGGCCCTCTGCCTCCATGGTAAATAAGAGCCTTATGTGTATGAGAGTCCCATGTGAGGGCGAAGCTACATGATTGGTTAGGGCCAAGGAGTTTGAGTACATGTGACACACATCATTTAGCTGCTAGTGTGAGACCCCAGAGAGAGCTCTCCTATCACTGTGGGAGAAATTCAGACAATAGCATGGAGGATAGTATTTTGCTTTTAATTTAGCAAGAAATGCTGTCTGCTGGTACTTATTTTTTGGACTTTTTACTTTAAAATATGATATAGAAAAGTAAAAAGAAGGGTTCGATGAGCACACATTGATTAAACAATTATAACACTTTTCCATACTAATCATATGTAAAAATTATATAAATACTTTGAAAGCAAGGATGCATACAATAGGAGATAACATGACATATACAAGATATATTAAATAAGGAAAGAAGGGTATATTATTATTTAAGGGGTATAAGTTAGCAAAGATAGCATTTATAAATATCTATGTACCAAATAATATGGAATTCACAATTTTTACTATGTAACCTCTACATGTGAGAGAAAATACGGTGTTTGCCTTTCTTTGTCTTGCTAGCTTTGCTTAGCATAATGATCTCCAGGTTCATTCATTTTGTTGTAAATGTTAGGATAAAATTCCTTAGTGGCTGAATTTATGTTTATATACTAGAGTTTCTTTATCCAGTCATCCACTGATGGCTTTTTATGTTGATTCTATAGTTTGCTGTTGTGAATAGTTCTGAAATAAGCAAAGGAGTACAGATATTTGGTCATATTGAAGTAGGCAGGCATACAGAATAAAATTGATTAGATTTGTGAACTGGAAGACCATGCGTTCTCCAGGCCCCTGTGTGACCTCATGCCCCTACCTTATACCTTCACCACACCCCTGTTTGACCTCATGCCTCTACCTTATACCTTTACCACACCCCTGTGTGACCTCATCTCCTTACCTGGCCACACCTGGGTGCCCACCAGCCAATCAGGTTAATTAACCACTCCCCTTTGGAAGTAGGTTAAAAGCCTGGGACACAGTGTGTCTGCGCTTCTCTTCTTCCCTGACCTCTTGCCAGGAGGGGCCTTGCTGTAGCCCTGTGCCTCCAGGGTGCGTGTCCTTCAGGCCACTTTGCATTGGTTTCCTGGCCTAGATGCTCCTCCACGTGGCTGGTTCCTGGTGCTCGGTATGAATCCAAATTTACCTCTCTCTCTTAACTAAAGCTCTCACTTTCCTATGCACCTTTCTTACTAAATAAAAGCCTAAAACGTACCATGCTGCCTTGTTTATCTGTGCCAGTACTTAGAATTCTTCTGTAAATATTAGGCAAGAACCCTCTTGGGCTTATTAATATTGGGGATTTATTAATAGGCTTATGGTGAAATCATATGGCACCCCAAATTCCGGTAGCCTATGTGGTACCCCAGATGGCACTTCTGGGGAACTCTAATGGGTCACACTTTTGTGTAAATTTTAGGGGGGTCTTGTCCGATTTCAATATGGTAGATTTCTTTTTTTTTTAGATATCTCATACTGTTTTCCATTATAGTATTACTAATATTCATTCCCTACAGCAAAGTTTCCTTTGCTCCACAATCTCACCAGCATTTGTAATTTTTTTGCTTTTATGTAATAAACATCTAAGCTGTCATGAGATGAAACTTCATTGTGTTTTTTATTTGCATTTCCCTAAAGGACGGCAACACTGAGCATTCTTTCATGAGTATGACATATATTTTGTTTCTATTGTGAAAAATATCTATTAATATAATTTGCCCATTTCTTAACTGGATTGCTTGTTTTGTTGTTGAGTATCTTGACATCCTTTTACATTCTGGATATCATTCCTTTATCAGAGGCATAGTTTGCAATGTTTTCTCTCATTTCGTTGATTGTCTCTTCACTCTGTTGATTGCCTCATTTGCTGTGCAAAAGATTCTTATTTTGATACAACACATTTTGTTTTTTTTTTTAATTTTATTATGGCTGTTTTTGAGGGATTGTCAAAAATATTGTACTCTATGCCTAAATCTTGAGTGTTCTCTTATGTTTTACACTAAATGTTTAGCAGTCTCAGGATTTATATTTAGATATTTGTTCCATTTTGAGTTGATTGGAAGAAACAACAGATTCTAGTAGTGAATTTAATTCACTAAATTTGGGAGGATTAGATTTGGGATCTATTGTTTCATGTTGGAATTGCTTGAGTGGAATTCTTATAAACCAGGGACCAGGCTGCTCATTTGGCTTTCAAAACCTTCAATCACTGGTAAGCATCAGACTATCTCAGTTACCCCTCAGAAATCCCATTGTTTCTCTCAGAGGAATAGTTTCATTATTTAGTATAGTGTATGTTAATTGTTACATCCATGCATATATGTGGGCTAATGAATTTACCTTGGTTGAGTTCTCTTCTTCTTTCTTTATGATTAACTCCTGTTGGATTTTCAGTGAAAATGGCAGAGTAAGGAACTCCAACAACTCTTTCCTCCATAAAAGCAAGGAAGAATGGGAAAATTGGAAAAATTAGTCGTCCAAAATTATTTAAAAAATATTTGCAACATTATAGGAAAATGGAAAATATGGGGAAAAAGAATAATTTTGTGGCATTTTAATTTGCTGTCTTTTGATCTCTATTTTTTCAACTCTCCCCAGTGTAGTTTGGCAAACCAACAGCTACAATAATTTAAAAAAAAAGCAGATGCAAGCCCACTAAGTAGGAAGCATGAGATTGAAGTTCCTAATAACCTCATTTCTTGAGAATTGCCATTGTTTTATGTGTCTGGTGGTTTACTGAAAGATAATGCTTCTAAGATCATCTCTATTATAATGGACAGAATGTTACTCCTTGATAACAATTTTTATTATAGAGTGTTCTCCAAATTTTTTAATTTCTTAACTTTACAGATATCTGAGGTATAGGTTAAAAGCTGTGAAAAATAATAAGCAAAACCAAAAGCTTAAAATTGCAAACTGGGAAACTGCTGACATAATCCTTGCGATCTACAATACCACACACCTATAGAGGGCTCTGAGCATGCCCAAAGAGGAACAAAGGTGTTTGTTCTCAACTCTGCCTGAAATTTAGTCTCTGTGCAAATAAGAAGTGAAGACAAAGGCAAAGTCTCAATTGCCTGGATCACTGTTGAAGTTGTATTTCAACATGCAAAGGAAGGGAAAGTTCATGGTTCCAAATATTTAAAATAATCTCTATATCATCATTAGCAGACTACTTAGCCAACCTCAAATAAGAGATTTCAATGATCTCGTGGGACTAAGAATACAAACATTACAAACACATTAAGAAAAATCACTAAACAGGGAAACCACAACATAAACGAGCAATAAATAGTAGCAGCAACAATTCTTGGAGAGAGTGAACACTTGTATTTCTATGTTTACTGAATTATATTATTTGAGATGTCTTGTTACAACAAGAATTATGAAATACGCAAAACAAAACAGTAGAAAGTGCATGTTACACACAAGAAAGAAAACATACAAGTAGGACTATGCATGAGAAAGTCCAGGCATTCACTTTGATAACTTTAAATCAGTTATTTCAATAATATCCATGACTAAAGGAAATCATGTCTAAAGAAATAAAGGACAGCAGAAGAATGAGTGTTAACTATTATAAATTATTAATAAAACATACTAAAATTACAAAACAACAGAAATTCAGGCATTGGTAAATACAATGCTATAACAAAAGAAAAAAATCACTACAGTGACTCAGCAAATTTGAACAGTTAAATGGAAAAAGCAGTGAGTGATCTGGAATATACTTCAACTGAGATTACTTAATATGAAAATAAACACAATAAAGAAAAATGAAGAGATTTTCATAGATGCATTGAACACCATCAAGTATTCCAAATATATATATATATATATATATATATATATGGCTTTCAAGAAGGACAGAGAGAAAGAGACAAAAAGAATACTTGAACAAAGAAATTCACCTAAATTCACAAATTTGAAAATAGGCTTCTATGTATTCTAGAAGCTCAATACACTTCAAGTATTGCAAAGTTAAGAATAGACTTTTGGAAGCCACCAGAAAGAAATGACATATCACATAAAAGTTTAACAGCTATTTTTTCCCCTGGAAATCGTGGAAGCCAGGAACCTGGGATAGCATATTCAAGTACTAAAAGGAAATAGTGTCAACTAAGAATCTTACATCTCTCAAACTAGCTTTCAAATGTAAAGGGGGATTTAAGACATTTCAAGATAAATAACAACTGAAGGAATTTTTCAGCAGTTGGTCTGTCCTAAAAGAAATATCAAAGAGAGTCATTCAGGGTGAAATGAAAGGACACTAGATAATCACCTATGTCACCAGCTATTCAATTATTGTTTACATCCATTGTCTATATTCCCACTAAACTGGACTCTTTTTGCTTTTGACTTGTTAAACCTCTTATTTGGTAAAATATTAAGCCTTTTTACTGTAATGTAAATTTAAAATATGTTTTCTCAAAAATTTAAAAAATTGAGAGAAGGAAGGAGGGAGGGAAGAGGAAAGGAATATCGTTATGTTTTTAGAATCATATCAATGAATCACACTGAAGCTGTTAAAAACTGATAAAAAAAAATAATAAAGTACATGTTGTGTTTTTCTTTCCGAGCAACAAAAGAACACTGGTAAAAGCACTACATACTTCCATAAGATACTGATGTGTAAAAGACAATAAGAATGTCCTTTTGTTTATAATTCTTTCTGTCCCTTCAATTTTAGAAGAAGGTACAGTAGGCTGGTGCCGCAGCTCACTTGGCTAATCCTTCGCCTGCAGCGCCGGCACCCCAGGTTCTAGTCCCGGTTGGGGCGCCAGATTCTGTGCTGGTTGCTCCTCTTCCAGTCTAGCTCTCTGCTGTGGCCCGGGAAGGCATTGGAGGACGGCCCAAGTTTTTGGGCCCTGCACCTGCATGAGAGACCAGGAGGAAGCCCCTGGCTCCTCTCTTCGAACTGGTGCAGCACGCCGGCCATGGTGGCCATTTTGGGGGTGAACCAATGGAAAAGGAAGATCTTTCTCTCTGTCTCTCTCTCTCTAACTGTCTAAATTTGCCTGTCAAAAAAAAAAAAAAGAGGGATAGTGTAATATTAATATGACATTAAATAATGGGAAATATTCGTATGCAATTGAGCTGAAGTTCACATAGATTCACATTAGATTTTTATAAATTGTTAGCTAAGGTCCACAATGGGACATGCAAGAGGTAACGAGAAGTACAGTAAAAGGCATTTGAAAAGAGGAATTAAAATGCAATTCTAGAAAATAGTTTATAAAAACAACACAGAGTACATTTCTCAAGCACTTACTTCTCTCCTGTAACTGCTTACACCTATTTTAAAGCTGACCTATTCTGAACATGGGTTGCTTCCTTGAACTCTTAGAACCACACAACTGTGCAAGCAATCTGATGCAATATGAAGATGCTGAGTGGAGAAGTCTCTATTTAGTTTTTTCACCATCAGAGGTTGCTTAGTTTACTCCTCTGATAGTTTCATCTCAGGGAGTGTTTATCTGGCTGCTTTTCTTCACTAAGAAAGGGAGGTAACACTCTTGACTTGGCATATTTATGGGAGCATTAATTCTGCTCAAGCACATGGCTAGTGTGGCATGGTGTTAACAGGAAGGTCATTCAAAGATTTCAGGGAAAAATTACATTACATTAAAAATAAGTTTATTCTGTTGAATAATGATTTCGGAATCACTATGGGTCTTCAAAAATTGATGGGAAATATATACAATAAAAAGGATGGGTTTCTTTTTTTAACTTTTTTAATATATTATTTATTTGACAGGCAGAGTTACAGACAGAGAGAGGGAGGGACAGAGAGAAAGGTCGTCCATCCACTGATTTACTCTCCAAATGGCTACAACATCTGGAGCTGTGCCAATCCGAAGCCAGGAGTCAGGAGCTTCTTCTGGGTCTCCCATGTGGGTGCAACTGCTTTCTCAGGCCATAGCAAAGATCTGACTCCCAAGTGGACCAGCCAGGAAACAAAACAGAGCCCATAAGGGATACTGGTGCCGCAGGCAGAGGCTTAGCCTACTACTCCACAGTGTCAGCCCCTGCATGGGTTTCATTTAAATTTTTTGGCACCAAAATAAACATATTTTGATTCCATTTCTCTACAAACTTTTTTTTTTTTTTTTTTTTTTTTTTTTTTTTTTTGACAGGCAGAGTGGACAGTGAGAGAGAGAGACAGAGAGAAAGGTCTTCCTTTGCCGTTGGATCACCCTCCAATGGCCGCCGCTGCAGCCGGCGCACCGCGCTGATCCGATGGCAGGAGCCAGGATCCAGGTGCTTTTCCTGGTCTCCCATGGGGTGCAGGGCCCAAGCACCTGGGCCATCCTCCACTGCACTCCCTGGCCATAGCAGAGAGCTGGCCTGGAAGAGGGGCAACCGGGACAGAATCCGGCGCCCCAACCGGGACTAGAACCTGGTGTGCCGGCGCCGCAAGGTGGAGGATTAGCCTATTGAGCCACGGCGCCGGCTCTCTCTACAAACTTCTTAAAGTACTCATACTAATATTATTGTGGTTGGCTTATTATTGTCCAGAACTCTTTTTGACATCATTCCAGTTTTTAAACTTCCATTCTTTTTAGTTCTGCTCATTATCACTGAGAATGCCTTTCACCTCCCAGTGATCCACCTTACCTGTCCATGTTCAGTTCTCCCAGGCAGTCTGGCCCAGCTTGAAGCTCTTTCAGCATACAACTGCAATAAATGTTCAGAACTGAACACTAGAAGGCTGAAGAGAAGAGCGTGCAGTGGTTTCCAAGGTGAAATTTTGCTAAGGATAAAAGTACAAATTAGTCATGTTTCTTGTTTATTTGTATAATCACTTTCTACATTTGGACTTTCATGTATAACACAGAACACTACTCTTTTGAGAATGTGGTGAACAAAAGAATTATGCACATAATTAAAGGTAGCACACCTTACTCATTTTATACTTAATTAACTAGGTAAATCCAGAATCCAATCAAGAGAAGCTATTTAACAATCAGATAACATTAGAAATAAAATGAAGATTTCTCACAACTTTCCAACTTTGTCAAGATTTCACTTGTTACCTGAACCAAAGCCTTAAATCACATGTTCACAAAATATTGAGATTAAAAAAAAAATCTTTCAATTGTATGATATAGAAAAATTCAGAACTTTTAAATGATTGCAGCTAATGCAGAAGACCATTAAAAACTTGGACTATATTCATATTTCCCCAAAGGACATTTAAAAGTAGATGATTTTATTACCCCCAAAATGGGTAAGATAATTAATTATGTATCCTAATGTGATTTATTAATAGGTGCTCAAGATTAAATAGCATCAGCCCTTATCCACAGGGAATTAATTTGTACTCTGAGCAACCAGAAGTGAGGAAGATATGAAACGGATGATGTTTCAGGAGCAAATGAAATGAGCTATAATAACTTTACATAAATAAAACTATTTTTAAGCCTTTCCTTGAGTTGCATTTGTGCCGCCCTGAGGCAGGGTTGCTGTGCAGGGCTCCTGTGGGAGACTAGGGGCAAGAGAATGTTGATTACATTTTCAATAACCTAGAGTGCCTCATATACATCTTATGATACTTTGTAGCTGCGAAGAGAAACTACTCAGGAAAGGCCATCATTTAACACTGCCTTTGCCACAGGAGATGGGTCAGAGCTTCCAGATGCCTTTTCAATAACCAAACTGATCAGAGGCTTTCACTACTACCAGAGAGAGAATGACAGGAAAGTGTAAGGCCTTTGAGAAAATAGCATAGGGATTCTTTTTTAAAAATAATTTTTTCATAATTTATAAAGGTTTTATATATTTTTAACTTACAACAGTTGTAAACATTGTACAGTGTATAGTGTGATCTCATCTCCTTATCATTTCTCCAGTGCCTTAAAGCTCCCTTTTTCTAGTTCGTCACAAGGTAAACAATATATTAATACAAACTAGAGCCACCTCATTGTCCTCTGGAGCATAACTTACTCCTCCATCTGTCTTGCTACCCATTATTCAAACACTCTCTAGTGAAAGGCGTTAGGCAGCCTCAGTTGTAAGTGAAGTGCCAGCTAGATGTTCAGGTATGTCCCAAAAATAGTCTGTTATGAGGGTTCATAATGGGGATTAATTTTTTTCTCAGCTTTGTTTACTTGTATTATTTATTTTCAATTAACTTTATATACAACAGACCAACTCTATACTAAAATTTCAACAATTTGTGCATGCACACACACACAAACCCACAAAATATGAAAAACTGTTTGAGAACAAGTTGATAGTTAATTCCCTTAGTACAACTCATTGAGGACAAAGGTCTTGCATGGGGAGTAAATGCACAGTGACTCCTGTTGTTAAATTAACAATTAACACTCATGCGTGCCATCATTGATCACCCGAGGGTCCTGACACCAGCTGCCAAGGCTTCTGAAGCCTATTTAGTACACAGTCTCCATCAGTATTTAGAGGCAAAGCCATAAGCAAAGTGAAAGTTTTCTCCTCCCTTCAGAGGAAAGTATATACTTTTTTTAATGGCCCCTTCTTTCTACTGATGTCTCACTCAAAGAGATCCTTCTTGTAGGACATTTTTTGCCACAGTGTCTTGGCTTTCCAGGCCTGAAATGCTCTCATGGGCTTTTCAGCCAGACCAGAATGCCTCAAGGGCTGATTCTGAGATTAAAGTGCTATTTACAGGCATTCTATGAGTCTGCTGTGTGAACTGCTTCTCATGTTAGAAGATTCTCTCCTTTTTAATTCTATCTATTGGTATTACCAGACAGTTGATCTTATTTAAATGATCCCTTTAACAATTAATCCTAGCTATATAATCAATTTAACACTTAATATGGTCACTTTAATACTTAAGATGGCATTATTACTACCTAGCTTAATGGGATTTGTAGTCCCATGACAAGCTTTTAGCTGTATCTTTAGTAGTAAGTCAATAGGAATGTATGAAGAACATCCTTGTCTAGTTCCAGATTTCAGTGGTAATACATCAGCCTTCCCAATTCAATAATACACTGGCCTTGGGCTTGTCATAAATTGCCTTGTCTTGAGGAATGTTCCTTCTAAACCAAATTTGCTTGGCGTTTTCATCATGAAAGGGTGTTTGTAGTTTATCAAATGTTTTCTCTACACCTGTTGAGATAAACGTGTTTTTTGTTCTTCAGTTTGTTAATGTCCTGTATCATATTGATTGATTTATGAATGTTGACCCATACCTGCATACCGGGGATAAATTCCACTTGGTCCCCATGAATGTTCTTTCTGATGTGTTGTTGGATTCGATTCACCAGAATTTCGTGGAGGAATTTGGAGTCTATGTTCATCAGGGAAATTGGTCTGTAGTTCTCTTTCTCTCTTGCATCTTTTCAAGTTTAGGAATTAAGGTGATGCTGGCTTCATAGAAATAATTTGGTAGTATTACCTCTCTTTCAAATGTTTTTAATAACTTAAAAAGAATTGGAGCTAGTTATTCTTTAAATGTCTGCTAGAATTCAGTGGTGAAGCCATCTGGTTCTGGGCATTTCTTTGTTGGGAGGGTCTTTATTACTGATTCAATTTCTGTTTTGGTAATGGGTCCGTTTAGGTTTTCTGTGTCTTCATGGCTCAATTTAGGTAGGTTTCATGTGTTCAAGTGAAGTAAAACCTTCACAGAAGGGACTGCATTTTGGAGCACCTGAGACTCCAGCTTGAGAAAGCACCCTTGCGCCACCCCCCAGCATGAGACTCTGGTCTGAAACTATGATTTAAAACACTCGGATAATAGCAGTCCTCTATATCACACCTGGCAACCTGCATCACACTTGGTATAGCATCGAAAAACCCTAGCAAGATTGCTCAAGCTTGGAAGTGGATAAGCTGAACCTGGGTTAATGATAAAAATATTATTTGTCTATGTCCTACATATGATTTAAGCCAATACTTGGATTAATGCCAAGATTATAACTGAAATTGTTAAGATTATAACTGGCATTGTTAAGATTATAATTGACATAAATTTCGCATAGGTTTTAGATTAACTTGACCCCGGTTACCATATATTCCCTCCTGATCCTATCAACCATGTATTCCCCTCCCAATTTTGTGGTTTTAGCCTTTATAAACCCTGTTGCTTTGGTCTTTTGGGTAGAGAGTTCTTTAGGGCATGAGCCCACACTCCACCACTGGCAATAAAGGACCATCACATTTTATGAATGTGTGGTACACCTTTGTTTGCACTCACTCAGATACAACACAGGAATCTATCCATTGCTTCTGTATTTCCCAGTTTGTTGGCATATAGCTGTTTGCAGTAGTTTCTGATGATTTTATTTCTGTGGTGTCTGTTGTTACATTTCCTTTTTCAACACTCATTTTATTGATTTGGGTCTTCTCTCTTTTCGCTCTCTCTTTTTTTTTTTTTTTTTTTGTTAGTTGGGCCAATGGTGTATCAATTTTGCTTATTTTTTCAAAAAATCCCAGCTCTTTGCTGATTTTTTAAATTGCTTTTTTTTGTTTCAATTTTGTTGATTAGTCTCTAATTTTAATTATTTCTTTTCTCCTATTACTTTTGAGTTTGACTAGATCCTTGAGGTATATTGATACTTAATTTTTTTGGTGCCTTTCCAATTTCTTGATGTAGGCACCTATTGCTATAAACTTTCCTCTTAACACTGCTTTTGCTATAGCCCATAAGTTTTGATATGTTATATTGTCTTCTTTATTTGTTTTAAGAAATTTGTTGATTTCTCTTTTGATTTCTTCTATGACCCACTGTTCATTCAGGAGTATGTTGTTCAGTCTCCATTGTTTGTGTATATTCTGGAGATTCCTGAGTTGTTGCGTTCCAGTTTCACTGCCCTGTGGTCTGAGAAGATACATGGTATGATTTTGACCTTTTTGAATTTTCTGAGAATTGTTGTATGGCCAAGTATGTGGTCAATCCTAGAGAAAGTTCAATGCAGTGATGAGAAAAATGTGTATTCTGTGACTGTAGGATGGAAGGCTCTGTAGATATCTCCTAGGTCTAGGTATATTTGGTCTATAATGTTTATAAATGTTCGTTTCCTTGTTGATTTTCTGTCAGGTTGATCTGTCCACTGCTGACAGTGCATTACTGGAGTCCCCCATTACTATTTTATTTATTTAAATCCACTAACATATCTTTTAGATAATCAAGGACCCAGTAATTAGATGGATATATATTTATAATAGTCACATATTTCTGTTGAATTGATTCTTTAATCATTATATAGTGCCCCTCCTGGTCTCTTTTAAAAGTTTTCATGTTAAAGTCTGTTTTTTCTGATATTAGGATGGCTACATCAGCTCTTTTGGTTTCTGTTAGCACATATTATCTTTTTCCATCCTTTCACTTTCAGTCTGTGTGCATCTATGTTGGTCAGATGTGTTTTTTGTCAGCAGCAGATAGATTGGTTTTGTTTTTTAATCCATTCAGCCAGTCAGTGTCTTTAAATGGGGAGGTTTTTTTTTTTTCTTTTTTTTAGATTTATTTATTTATTTATTTATTTTTAAACATTTATTTAATGAATATAAATTTCCAAAGTACAGCTTATGGACTACAATGGCTTCCCCCCCATAACGTCCCTCTCACCCGCAACCCTCCCCTTTCCCACTCTCTCTCCCCTCCATTCACATCAAGATTCATTTTCATTTCTCTTTATATACAGAAAATCAGTTTAGCATACATTAAGTAAAGATTTCAACAGTTTGCTCCCACACAGAAATGTAAAGTGAAAAATACTGTTTGAGTACCAGTTATAGCATTAAATCTCAATGTACAGCACACTA